CTACACACGTATCCCTTGTTGGCTGTGGGAAAGGAGTGTGTGAAAAGGGTTGATGCCATCAGCAAAAGGAGCCATCTCCTGAAGTCAGTCCCAGGCTGAGGTCACTCAGGGGATAAATACTTTTCCCCAAAGGCCTGTGGCTCCTGAGAACCAACTGTTCGCTTTGCCTGTCAACAGGATTTTCTCTGCTCAATATATCAAGCCCCAGCAACCAGCTGGCTGGTTTGATCTGTCCCTAGTAATCAGCTGGCATCTTTCAGGTTTGTAGCCATTTCTTCTCCTCTAGTTAGCACCCCAGCATAAGCCAACTGAAACATCTATCAAGAAAATAATTGTTAGAGCTGCTACCCTCATCAGCCAAAGACTGGCGCTTGCCTTTGTTCCTGAAATAAAGGTGGAAGTTGAAAGCCCAAATACCACAGACCATATTTTGGTTGCTACATGTCAGCCTAGTTCCATCAGATTCACTTGTCTCTGCTGATTTATGCTGTCTGTGACTCAGGTTGTGAAAAAATCTAATCAAGGGAAATTTGGAAACAGTATTTCTCATTTGTCTACCTAAAATCAAAGTTATTTATAAAAGACGTAACAACACTGACAAGCAAACTCAGATGCTTTTCCTAAATTTAAAAAAGAGTATGGGGGGAAAAAAGGTCAAATGCATGTGAGAAGTAAGTATTAAGGAAGAAGCTCAGCTAGTGTAGGTGTTATATTTTGGGTTTGATTGATATATCTGCTTATGAAGTAGATTTCGTACTGCTTTTTATAAGTAGTTTTTCACATGCTCATTTTTTTAGCCTCTACTGTACCTGCATAAGCCAGAAGTAAGTCCAGGGGGCTCTTGAATATTTTCATGAGAATTCTCTTTGTCTTTCGATTCTGGTGTCTGAAAGGTCTTCCTTTTTGAGTCTGATTTTTCCCCTGAATTGCCAAATGCATATGGATTTATTAAAAAAAAAAAAAGAATCACAGACAGTAGAGCTTGTTTGGTTTTGACGAGCCAAAAGCAAAAAAAAATACTCTAACACTTCATACACACACATTTTTATTCCAAGGAAATCATTCCACTTTACATTAGAATATCTTTACTATCAGTTAGGTCTCACAGAGCAGATGTTGAACTTTCACAGCTGGTGAACACTGAAGTAAGTTTCCACAAAGTGCAACAGTTGAAATCATATATTTTATTAGCAAGTAAATGAAAATGACTTTTTACTACCAGCAAACAGAAGAAAAGTAACTTCATAATTTTATGTGATTTGAATCAGAATGATCTGATGTTAAAAGTCACTGTTTTTAGGGCCCTGAGCTAAGCTTCGACATCTGTTCCTGGTGTCATGGTGCATACCAGGACAAACAGCTCTGCACACTTGGGAAACAACCAACTGGGGAGAGAGACTTCAAAACTGTCCACGTGAGTGAGCTGCTTTTTCCTTTCAGGCACCTGTCTCACCTTTCAGTATCTTTCAAATGTAATGCCAAATGTTTCATTCGGATGATGACAGCAGGATGGCAAAGGCTCAAAGGATGAGAATTTCCTTGCTCCATGCAAATACAGATCAGGGAACACAACTGCTATTCTGACAATTTGTCCCTAAGTATTTATTGAATAATGAATTAGTCTAATTTCTTAAAACTACAGTAAATTCATACAAATACTCCAAATTTCCTGATTCAGTAAGATTTTAGTTCTGAGCATGTGTTGTGTGGGAAGGCTGATTCTTCCATTATCAGGAGAACGGAAACTGTGATTTGGCTCTGCTGTCCTCCCAGAGACTTAGTGATCAAGGTGAACAGAGCCCTTTTTAAAGAACGTTATAAAGACATGAAATATAATTCTGGTTTGAGCAAGGCAAAGCCTTACCTCAGTGGACACAATGTGATTTATTGGCTAAAGGACTGCTCTGGAATGAGGAACGGTGACACTTATTTGTGGCTCTGCTACTGGTGGACTGGGTGACTTTGAAAGATGGCCTTACTTTTCCATATCCCAATTAGGGAAATGGCACCAACAAAAAATCTCTCCTAAAACTCCATTGTGTTATATTGCATAATGCAGCCTGACATGTGGGTTTATGTGTTTTTTTCAAAACAAGCTAGAGTTGTACCAACCTGCTGACTTGCTCCTTTTAGAAGGCTGCTTCTTCACAGCCACTGGAACTCGGGCCAGTGCAGCTAACTCACTCACAAAGTCCTGCTCTGTTTCCTGCACACAAGGATAAACCAACAGTCAGTTACAGAACACAGCTTGATTCTGGGTTTTGTTATTCTACACATGGCATTGCAGAAGAAGGCATATGTCATTGCAGAAGCGCGGGAAACAATATGGCTAGCATCAGTGATGTGTTTCTTACTAAGATTCTTGATGAGTAGCTTTCTGAGTTGCAACAGCTTTCTGAGATTCAGTGAGAAGCAACTCCAGCGTCTTGTTAACAGCGCTGAACACAAACAGGCTGAGAGCATGTCTGTGATGAAAAGCAGGAGATCTGCCGTGAAACCTGGCTGGTCAAATCTACACTGTGTTTGGCCCTGACCCTCTCCTTGTCACGGCCATGAACTCAAGAACACTGATGTACAAGTAGGGAGGCTGAGTAGTCTCCATCTGATTAGGTAAAGGTGTTCAAGTAACCAGAAAGTGAGTCTGTACTTGCAACAGACACAATACAGAACTGACAGTGAGCACGATAGAGAATATAATGTCTCCCACAAGTCCCCAGTTCTATTTGTAGGAAATAGTCTCAAACTGTTAGCTGTCTGTATGTGTTACTAGGTTTTGAGTCATAGCTTCAATGGGGAAGACAGTGGTGAATCTTAGCTGAGATAGCAAAGAGACCCTTACACCCACGCTGATATTTTTTCCATGGACTGCTTCAGATCCCTGAGTTATTTTACCCTAACTTACCTTTAGCTGATTCTCTAACTCGGTTTCAAGGTGATGGAATCCCAGCAGCTTTTGTTTCAGAGACTCCAGACGAATTTGCTGCTTCAGTTCAAAATGAGACAAAACCTTCTTTTGCAGCAGCACCATCCTGGTAAAGGGAAATTTAAAAATACCAATGTTGTTCACCACCAAGGGAGGAATACAATCCTCGCAAAGTGTATTTAGAAGATATTGTAGAGAGAAAAACTCATTAGCAGTAACAGCCCATCTAGTTTCTCCTGGAACAAACAATTCTGTGGTAGATTTTCAGTTAGATTTACTGATTTTAATAACCTGTCTTGGCTCTCCATGGGATACAAGCTCCTTTCAGAGGTAGGAATTGCAGCAGGAGTTTGGATTGTCCATGCCTGGACTTCGGAACCTGGAGTTTAGCATTAATGTTGAAGTCTGCTTTCAAAACCGCTGTAGATTTCTAAATTCAGCTTTACTGTCTGCTTGCCAAAGAGACAAGCTGTTACAAGATCAGGTGGGAGGATAAGGGATTAAGAATAGGCATTTCATTCAGAGCTTTTTAGTATCAGGCTGAGACTGAGCCAGAAACATGGTAATTCAAAATGCAGCAATTGGGAGCATTGACAGTTATATTCTTTGCTTGTTTTATTTTGCTGATTAAAGATTAATAGTAAGACAGTAGAACCTGAATGGCTACAGCTTTGCTGAATCTGTATTTCTTCTGTTCTCCTGCCTGATCTACCTTGAAGTAATGCTGTCAGTCACCTATCACATCCCTCAGGGAAGAAGATAACGCAAATTGTTTCTGACATCTACACATAATGAAGCTGCTATTGTAATGGTCAACGCTTACAGAAGGTTAGCTTTCAAAATCTGCTTTTTGAACTCACACTCATAGCCTTGCACCAAGGGGAAAAGAAATAAAACAATCTATGATGAGTTTAAGAGGAGTTAGACAAATTAATGGAAATATTGTCATTAATTTACACAGGACTGGGATTTGACCATAAAAGAAATCATAAGGAAAATGGGTTTGATTACTATTGGTTATGAGACCAGCACAGATACTGAATAGTTACATTCTTCAATAACATATTTCTGCTTGCATGAAGGCCAATTTGACCATATTTTCTTTTAAGATGCTAGAATAAATTACAGGAGAAAAACTGGGACAACAGCTAGAAGTGAATTTGTATGTAAGAATCAATGATAAACTTTATAATGTGTAACTAACAGATCTTTTATGAAGCCCTTTATTACATATTAATTCAAACAAGGATGAAAAACAGAAAGTGGGAAATTATTTCTTTCACTTTATAAATAACAGAAAATCTAAAAAGAGAATTAACCTCTTTGCAATGTCAAAATTGCAGATGCCATGTTGTTCCAGATAATAAACCAAGAGTACAGAAATAAAATTATTCCAAAAACGTATCATGTGCATGCCAAGTCATACAGCTTTTTATGACAACTTATTCCTTTCCAGTACTTTTCCTTTCCTTTTTCCTTTCCAGTACTTTTTGTCTGGATTCTAAGTTTCACAAAATCAGTAATGAATGAAATATGATTTTTATTTAATTAACATTCAAGGGATTCCACTCTAAATTTACTGCAAGTAATCTTGATTGTCCAAGGCAGTCACTGAAATCTTGCCATTTTGAGTATTACTTATGCTTCAAACATTTTCTCTTCATTATGGTATATGTTTACTCAACAGCATACTAACAAACACAATGTTCAAAGCAGAGAAGATGGAACATAATGCATTAGCATTGGTTCCCATCCTACATTTATGTTAAATTTCTTTTAAAATTTGGTATATGTTTTGGCATGGTTTTTCATTCTCTCTTTTCAAACTCTCTGTGCATAGTTCTTCTGTCTGTAATTAACGAGCATCAGTAAGTCTATTTAATAAGAAAGTAATTCTCTGAGATCAAAGGGTATACATAATTTGGCAACAGAAATTTCTTTTCCAACAAATATAAAATGCAAAAGCAAGACATTTATTCAGCTAGACATTTATGTAGCTCTGCAAACACAACATTTCAATAGAGTCAGCAGTGTTGGTGCCTGCTCTTACCTTTGGTGTACTGTGGATGACACGTTCAGGAGGCCTTTGGTCTGTTTTTCTTTCAATGCCAGTTCATTTTCTTGTTTATTCTTAAGTCTGTTCCTTTCACCTCTTTCTGCCGAAATAATGTTTTCATAAAATTGTCTGCTCAAAATTACAGACTCTGAATTGTGCAACCATACAATTAGGTTTTAATCAGCACAAACTAATCCCTGTTCTAGATAGCCAGCAAAACCGGACATCAGTCTTTCCAAAGTCACTGTGCCTTAGGGATATCAAGTACTCACACACTCTTGCTCTGCCACTGTGATCTGTTATGCATCATAGTTTTGTGTATCGTTTAGCTGAGATGGTAATGTCACTGAATTCCTATTCTTATCCACTTCTCCAACTCAAGACTAACCGATTAACATGGAATTCAAAGCAGAAATGTTATGAAAAGACCTTGATGCCTTAAGCAAGAACTGTAATACCTAAACAAAAAATGCAATATAATGAAAGTCTCTGTTCAGAGACCACTTAGTCCTGGGAATGCCTAACTTCACTAGACGTTCCCTCATTTAATAGCAAAGTTTTCTGGGTACTTTTGCATATGCTCACATTCTGTGAGTAACGTGGTGTTTATCTGCTGACCAGGTTCCCGACTCCTGTCCCTGAAGGCCTGCCTGGCAGCAAGGCTTTAGGGCATGTCTGACAGATAGGACTAGTTTCCTTGCATCACTACTTTTAAATAAAACACAGAAGGAGGGATTTGGATGGGAATGTAAGATTAGGGTACACAACATTCATTTGGGGAGCATTCAACCTTTTCTGAATGCTTGGAGAGGCTGACTTCTACCGATGGTACCCTCAGGGAGCAGTTACTGAGTGTACTCTAGGCTGGACTGGGTTGCCAGGGCGAGAGGAGGTACTCTCTGCCTTTCTTCCTGTGGCTGTGCCACACAGACTGTAAATTCAGATGTATTAGACCAAAGGATACCCAAAGAAACAAAAACCTCTAGCCTGACATCAAGCACACTCACTGGGAGAAAGAAGCCTGGCATTATGGTCCTCACTCCCATTTAGCTATCACTGAATTAAATGCAGAAGAAATTTCCTAGGTGGCCATTCTAACCCCAGGGCTATCACAGAGTAGGTGGGTCTATTGCCAACAGTTTTTCCCATCTTCTGTTTTAGAGAGAAACAAGTGAGAGCATCTGGTGAGGAGGATAACACTCTCAGTGTGGTAATCATGCTTGGAGATCACCTAACCGATCAGCCCTTTCTGGAAAGGAAGAAGTATGGATGTTCTGCCTCCTGGCTGAGCTTGAATGGAAAGCAGTTGGCTGGCTAGCAGGACTTAGAGTGTCCTCGCTGTGCCCTGGAGCAGAGCTCCAGGCTGTTAAGAATCACAAAGAGAAATTTAAGTGCTTTTGGGGCCAATACAGCAGCTGAAGTGAGAAAGGAGTGGGGTTCTGCATCACAAATTTGGACTTAGGTTAAAGAGGGACTTACATGTACTAAAGCATCAAAGTCTCTTATTAGATGGTAGTGCTCTCTCCTAATGCAAAAAGCACCAACAAAGCTGAAGAAATTATCTGTAGGTATTGAAAATCTCAGCCGAGCTGCAGCATGTAGGTTTGCAATATATTTTCACTGTAGCAGTTCATTTGATCTGTAAATTTCAGCTGGGTTCTCTCTGGCCAAACAAATCTAAAACACTCCTGCTTTTATTATCAACATAAATACTCTCATCCTCCCTCATGCCTGTAGGCTTATGTTGCAGCAGAAGGACCTTCTTTTTCTTCAGTTGAAAAGAAAATGTGCTCTGCTTAAACATGTAATTTTCTTCCTTGTAGTTCACAGAACACCAATACACTGAAACAATAATATATCCACTCAAACTCTAGGAGGAAAAATAACCTAAATTAGTATTACCAGAAGGCTGACTGTGGTTCCAGTGACTGGTATTCTAGGTCTCACAAGCTAACAGGGAGACCAGTCGAGAGACCAGTATCAAAACACTGATGAAACAGACCGTGCAAGTGTATAATGACATTCATCACAGCTCAGGTAAGAGGAGCATTCTGGAACAGGATTTGGTTTTAATTCCTGCTTAAAGGAACTCAAATCAAAGGGATTTTAGACTCTGCAGCTGGCTGAATTGGGGCCAAAGAACTCTTTAGAGGGGCTTTGTGAGACCTTAAGTCACTGACTGCCTTGCTAGCTGCCAATGCCTAAAATACAGATTGTCAAAAATCCCCGCAGATTTTGCCTAACCCTAGCACTTCAGCTTCCAATACTGAAGTCTCCAACAGAGCACTGCAGAACAGATTGGTTCTGTCTTATAACCAGTGAACATATTTAGCTACTACTGGGGCGCACAAATCCTTCCTACCAACTCATCTCTGGATCTCAGCCTTCAGTGGATATGCCTGTTCCTCTTCAAAAATGCTTTTCTGTGGTTAAAGAATCATTTCTATTTAAAATTGCCAACTCTATTTTAGAAAAAAAAAATCCACTCCATGTGTCTCAAATACTCAGCCTCTAATGATATTGCTGTTTCGCTAACTTGCTAACTTCATTTAATGCCAACAGCCTTCACCCAGGGGAGGGGAGAGTGCTTATAAAAGAAATCAATAATCACAGATTGCTTTTGTTCTTCTGTCTTGAAGGAACTGAGCAATTAAAAGTAATTCCAGGAGAAACTGCCTGTATCTCACATAAGTGAGATCCAGCAGCTCATAAACCTCTTCAGCAGTTTCACAACCTGTAAGAGGGTCATGGTTTACAACTAAGAAACAATGCAGTAGCTCACAGAGTGTTCCAGGATGGGCACGTTTGACTTTTTGGTGTCTCCTCTAAAGCATTTCCTCAACTTCAGAGACAACAACATTTCACTAAGCCAAAAAAAGGACTGAATGTAAGAATCTACCCCAAAAGCTGAGAGCAGTCAACTCAGAGGAAGTGGACTGTCTGCCAATGATGTTTATGTTTTCTAACATGGGAGCAGGGATTGCAAACCCAGATCTACTCCCTTCTAGGGAAAAGATTCAGCTTGTAGGCACCTGTCATATACCCTCTCTCTCCCCCTATTAATATTTGATTCACTGATTAATTTTATTTGCATATATCAATATGCAAAGTTGAACAGTGTTTCTGGTAGACATTGGATGTACAACCTAATACTTGTATAACACTTTGCTTTCTAAATTCTTCTGCCTTGTGTTGAGGTTTAGAGCACCAGAAAATCAACTGCTGGTGATGTCTCTGATCTTAGCTTGGTGAACCGGAGTTCATGGTTAAACTATAATCTGCAACACTGGGTTCTCATTCTGTGTGTGTCTGTACCAAACTTCAAGTAACAGAGTGCTGCATCTATGACTATAATTCAACTAATGATTAATAATAACAGTTCTACCACTTCTCCTTCAAACATGGATATGGACTTACACATTCATTTTTCTCTGTTGCTTACTTTAAATAACAGATTTCTTTGCATATGCAAAGATATGCATATCTTTAAAAGCAATCTTTTCAGTGATAAGAAAATAAATCTATTAAAAGATGGACTAGATGATCTTTTGAGGTCCCTTCCAATCCCTAACATTCTGTGATTCTGTGATTCTGTGAAAAAACAAGAATTACCTTATAATTGTCAATATGATACACACCTTGTAAGGATTTCAGTTGTTGAAGCCTTTTCCCTTCATAGCCTTCTGTGATTTTTCCTAATTGCTGATAGTAGTTTTGCACCAGTCTATTGATATTATTGCTGGTCCCGTACACACTTTCTACAGCAGCTTCCACCAGTCTCTCCTGTATTACATGGTACAAGTCACAATTCATTCTATAAGTCAAAAACTGAAGGGTTTTGATCTGTCTCAAACTGAAGGCCAAATCTAATTTTGTATGTGCACACAAGATTGTGAATGCTGTGCTGTAAAAATGGGGCAGACTGAGACACTGGAAAACAGGTATTTCTATTAATCCATGGGACATTTCAACATGAAAGATTACAGTAAAATCTTTCTAATGTGCCCCACCTTCATCTGGGAAGGGGCCATTCCTCTATCTGTTCAATCTCCATAGCCCATTTTACCTGTCAACCTGACTGCCAGCAAAGTAAATCAGTATATGTGTAGCTCTACTACAACTTCCCATTATACAGAAAATCCAAATATTTACTTTGGAACAACTGTATTAACCTATAAAGTGAGTTTTATTTTTATCTAATTATTTATCTATGAATGCATATTAAGCTGTTAATATACAAATACTATTACTCAACCACAAAACCTTCATCAACAGATAACCATCTCATTTTCTTCCTCATTTTTGTTATTTTCTGTCAAGAAAGCTCTCTCTACTTTTTTTAATGCTCCAGGGTTTGGCTTAATAAAACCTGTTTTGGCTGCTATAGCAAGTCACTAGAAAATACTGTACTTCTACATAAGTGTTAGTTTATAAATAGTTTGCAAGGTATCTTGAGTTTTGACACAGGCTGAAATAGTCTCCTGCTGATACTTCTAGGCACAGGGTAAAAATAAAATAAATAAATAAAATTCCCTTCCATTTTAGCAAAGTAGCACTCATTTTGTTTGGAAAACTGCTGTTGAACATTTCCATACCTTGAAGTCCTGTCCATCATCTGAACTCTTTTTTCCAGCTTCCTGTCGGGCATGCTGCAGCAGTGTCCGCCCAATCACCTGCTCCATGTGCTGTTGAAGAAACTGAAGAGCTTCTTGAATTTCTGTGACTAGCTGCTGGTGAAATTCTAAATGGGTCTGCTGTGTTTCTTCCTCAAGACTTTCCTCCTCTTCCAGAATGTGAGACTCCTGGTAATCAGACAAAGAGATAGCACTGCAATTTAAATACACTGACAAACTTAGTCAGCTTAGCTTTAAAGAAACTCTCATTCAGAGTGTTATTGCTTTTATATTTAGAATAATCTAATTTCCAGCAGAAGTTTATGCAGAGTCATGTAATGCATCTGTCTTTGCAAAAAAACCTATTGCCTCTGTCATGATACACACAGTAACAGTGGCATTCTGTCCCAGTAGTCACTTCCAAGTGATGTATTTCCATCTTTGTATTCTGTACTGTTGAATTTGGTCTTATTTCTATTAAAAATATGACCAGTCTACATCAAATATCCTGAGTCCAGTAAGAAATAACTGTGGATGCCTCAATAAAGTGCACAGGAACAAGGCAAGTATACAGTTACGCACCTGAAATACTTGCACAGTTTGCTGGGTCTGTCTGAGAGAAAATTGGTATATTGGTACGTGTGGCCCTTGGGAGAGGTCATTAATGTGTTTTATAACACTTGGAAACCCTTTTCACTCTTGGTACATACAGCATCTTGTGGTGGTGAGTTCTACAGCTTACCCGCACATTTCTTAATTTTGAACCTGTCATCTAATAGCTTTGCTTGGTGCTCTCTTGTTCTTTTGTTAGAAACAAGAAATTGGAAACAAGTGAAAAATTGTTCCCTCTTCACATATTTTATGCCAGTTTTAAAATCTATGATATTTCAGAAGATGCCTCTTTTTTAAGTGGAAGAGTTCTAGTTTCTTGAGGTCTTTTGACCATCCTTGCCACCATTTTCTATGCTTCTTTATAAATCCACGCTCCCTCTAAACTCTCTTTAGCACACAACAATATACACTCACCAGCATGACCTGTTCTGTGTTCCTTATGTGTATTAGTCTTCCATAGGTTGCCTTCTATTGAGTTGCTGATGTCCCTCTTATAGTATATTCTCATTTAAGGCTAAACAACATTAAGCTGTTCTGGTAGATTAGACAGCATCTATTTGATGCCCTCTTGGAAATAAGAAATGGAAGTAGGAAAAGAACCTGCTCTGTCCACATTCATGTGTGGAATATAATGGTGTCCCTGTTAATGCTGGGTTGCTCTGACATGTCTGTCTTTATAGCTCAAACATATGTTTTTGATGTTCTTTTTTTAGACAGTCAGAATGTCATTAAACCATTTATCTTTTTTTAGGAGACCCAATGTCATGTTATCATGTTGAATCTAGGATTTTTTTAGTGTGTTTTACATTTTACATTAAATCAACAGATAGACATGAGACTGTCTACCAGTCTAAAATTGGCACAAGCTAAAATTAAGTTTAGTTCAAACAACAGCGTATGTCTGAAACTCTGATTGAGTGTCTGTAAATTAACATTTTCCTTAATTCTTTATACATTTGGTTCTAGTTGTGGAGGTTGTTCATAACATTTTTTTTCTCTCTGACTTTTCACAATTCCGTATCGAGGTCCTACTTCTTTGGAAGCAAAGATCTTCTAAGCTTATTTTTAGGCACTTCCTTGTGAGATGGGTTTTAGCTGGAAAGAGGCTGTAATGGAGAGAGGCCAACAGACCAGTAATACCTGGAGACTTTTCATTTTTGTAAGAGAACAGAGTGATTGCATCAATTAATGTCCCTGTGGGAGCTAAGTGAGAGGGAGTAGTGGAAAACACATAACAGGAGGAATGCAGCCATATGCATTTCTATTTTATCAGTTTATATTTTAATTCTTCTGAAGGTTAATGAGATTTTGAGATTTTCACACTTAACAGGAACTACTCAATAGTAGTATCAAATATAAGAATTTCCTTATTCCTCTTCCAAGTGGAGAAATAGGGTTTGTATTATGCAAGTCTGCATTAGAAGGATGCAAAATATTATTTCTCAGCTAATTACACAATGACAGCATGGAGCACAGAGCTGCAAAGTGGTGGATGGGTTCAAGACATACGTGCAGCAGCAGTGGGTTGGGCAGGGGCTATCACTGACACCCAGTAGGAAGGTCCTCTGAGGTTGAAATCTAAAATTAGGTGTTGTTTTAGGCAAGTATTTAATGCAGGTAAGTAAATAACCAATACCACCTCATGTATTAACCCTGAAAAACAGTCACAAACAGATCTGAAAGTGACTTGTGGGAATATCAAATCTAAACATTCCTTAAACTTTCTCCCAACTCTTTAACCTACAGAAGCCGGACTATTTCAAAGGATGTCAGGGGAATGGATGTTGAGCATCTCCTAATGGACAGAGGAGAAAGAAAGAAGAATGAAAAATGATGACGGTACAGAAGAAATTGCTAGGTCTGTTGGAGAAAGGAATTTCTTCTGACCCTCAAGTAAGAACTTTTCAAGTGTGTATTACGATCCCTAGCAGAACTCTGTAGGAATTCCCAGTAGGAATTTATTTTATCCTGAAACAGTAACTTATGTAGAAGTCCTTTATACATGGTGGCATGTCTTCTTTAACTAGTATTTTCATATATAATAAATAACTAAATAAGCTTGCTGTGATAACACATAGCACAGATAGCTAGGCAGTAGATAAAGGTACTAGGAAATTTCAAATGTGTGCCCAAACTAAAACAAGCACACTCAGGGACCTGCTATGCCTGCAGTGGGTGCATTTTTGACAAGAGAATATTTTTCTTCATATTTTAAACTTGAACATTTTTATTTTTGAGTTCTCCTATGGTTATACTTCTAGTACCAGACCCCACAGCAGATGAGACCCCTGGAGAAAAATTACTCAGATATTGTACCTACCACTGCCTTCTGTAGCTGCCACTGGTCCTCATCTTGGCAGGGGGAAGATCCCTTCTGCAAGGTATGTTGCTCTCTCAGTTCCTGAAGCAAGCTCTTCTTCCTGGACAGCCTCATACGGGTGAGGGCTGCCATCCCAACTCGTCGGAGGGTTAACCTTCTGAGTACTGAACACAGCAAAAGTCGGTGTTTTTGCAATATACAGTTAACAGACCTGTAAAAAGGACCATAGAAAATCAATCAGCTGAGCTGCTTGCTGATTTGGCACATCTGTGTTCAGAAAAGCCAGTGTTAGATGACAAGAGTTACTATTCACTCTGTGTAACATCTTCTTGTACAAAGCATGCCTTGAAGAGCTGCTCAGGTGTAAAGAATGGGTATTGTTGTGACAGACTTCTGTAACACTGAAGTTAAAATAAAAATAAGAAGAGATAAAAAATAATCTATAATTACATAGTAAACTTTTTTTTAACAGGAGACTTAAGATGAAAATAGAATGCAATCTGTAGGAAAGTTATTTAAAGAAAATGCAAGAGCATACCTTGGATTACCAAGGAGGCACATTGTAAAGAGACATTGAAGAGGCTTAGATGGCAGAGCAGACATGGCTGAAGCAAGTTTGTGGTGAATTTTAAACAGCAGAGTAAATTTTGAAGTTGATTCTGGACCAGGGGAGTGAAGTCTGTGTGCATATTTGTCATGGTGCCTGTATTTGACTTCTGTGTATGTGCATCATGAGCTCTCTAGATACCTAATGTTGGGAAACATTGAAGTCAGAGAACATGACTTACATTGACAACAATGTAAGGTTGAACTGAAAAGCGGAGAGAAAATAAAGGAGTGCAAGGGCAATAATATCAGTATTTCAAATAGACAAGTCTTCAAATGCTTTGATCTTTGGTAATGTGAAGACCATGGTGAACGAAGTCATTTGAGATCTTAATCAAAACAAGGCAGATAACACAGATCTGTGTTTTCTGAGATGTATCTCTATCAAAGAGACGTTTAGCTGTACAAAGATGAGATAAAACTAAGTCTCCTTGGTGAATACAGAGAATGCAAAAGAGGAGTCATTATCATCCAAAGCAATGGTCTGTGGTATTCTAATAGCAGAAAGCAAAGGTAGAGCAAAAGGTGCTGGACAGAACACTTTACCTTGAACAATATCCGACTCCAATGTGACATACAGACTGCAAAGACAAGCTGGTTCAAGATTAGAAACCACTCATAAACATAGGAGTAGAAACACAGAAAGCACACCACTTGACAAATCACAGAAGACTAGCTTTTCTATATACCAGCAGTCATGGTATCTCCATTTTTTAATTTGGTTTTGATACTCAGACAAAAACTAGAGTCACTGCCTCTCCGCCTGATGATCATCCTGCAACACTACTTTCCACAATGTAATGTACACAAGTTTTAATCTGTGCATGCAGCCGTGCAGTTTTACCCCCTGCCTACGGATAAAAGTGTACTTACTCATCACTGAGGCATCCCAGCCTGCTTACAACACCTTGAATGATCTTCTCTTGTTTCTCAGACAGGTGCTTTTGCATCACAGCAGACAGAGCATATTCCTTTACCCATAGCTAAAAGTAGGAGAAAAAATGACAATCGTAAGATACTCTAATTTCAGTCACTCTAGTCACCACATTATGATACAGGGGTTTATTTGAAGTTAATTTGTTAAAAACAATCTTCCCTCTCTTTCAAGAAACAAACTCATGCTGAATTAAAATTATTCTACTTAGGAATATTTTTTTCTCAATGATCAAAGTCTTAAACAAAGCTCACTGAAAAGAAAGGGAGGCTTTGCACTGGTTTGGATCAGCCCTGAGCTGTGTCTCCTGCAGATTTTCTAGTTTCAGCAACAAAGAAACAAGAGAAAAAGAATAATACAGCACAAAATAATGCACTGACTCTTAGCAGGTTGTGGTATGTTTTCTTGTTTGTTAATTTCGTTTTTTTTCCACTAGTAGCCAATGCAGTTTTTATTTTCACTGAACAAAATAAAGATATCATCTTTCATCACGCTTTTATGGACAGTACACAGTGCTAATAGTTAGAAATGGAGATCGTGTGATTAGGTCTACAGACTGCAAGTTTACAGCTCCTTCAGGGTGATATTTAGACCTAAGAATTTAGCCTTTAAATGTTTTAATGGATTTGCCATTAGACTGTAATGTTTTGCAGATATGGACTTAAGGTTTTGTTTAGCATACTGTCAGAATTTAATGAATAATAAGCCATAAGATGAAATGGCTGTAAGGCCCTGTGAGATGAAGAGTGTATTTCAGACTACACTGGCAGTTGGATAAATGCAGATTGCCTACAGACATATGTAGAGCCCTAAATTAAATATAATACTCAGGCTCTCTGACAGCTTCACTTCATGTTCTAGTATCATTCAGAACACGAGGGACTAAATTTTCTATTATTGCAGGCAGCAAGGTCTCACTAGATCAATATGTTTGGCAAAGAATTAGATATGTAATTGCAGCTCCTGTTAGTGTTAGGAACAAGAAGTGGTACTGGGCCTTCCTATTGGCTTGTATAGTCTTTTCCTATGCAAGCAGTGATCTATGGAGCAGAGAGGCTTTATCTGTGAGCACACAATGAACTCCCCTGGGAAGTGCAGACCATCAGAAAACACATAATCTTTGGCTTTAAAATAAAAATGTATTTCTTTCTTGGATAGCACCTTCCCTGTAGCATACACAGCAATACATATAACTGACTCCTCTCCATGCAGAAAACCTTATCAAAACAGATGCTCCTGAGCAGGATGCCTGGGAAGGATGGGCAGGCACTCAACAACAGGTGACAGATGGAAGGAGTGCAGCTGAGCATGAGAAGCACAGCCCGAATGTCTGTATGGTGCCTGGGAGCCCACCAGGTTGCTCTCAGAAAGAGCCGCAAGAGGTACCTGTGCGGCCAGACCTCAACCGATTTGAGTCTAAGCGATTCTTAAAATCACAGAGCACAGCCAAGCACAGTGCCTTCTCCGATTGCATGCTGCAAGTGTCAAATTAAGGTCTACCAGGTCTCCAGGTATCACCGTGACAGATGGCAAATACTTGCCTGAAGTAATAACTGTAACAGTGCTTCCCTTTAGCCGCTCTGTGGATATGGCTTCCCAGTGTCTCACACCTCTCTGCACACACTTTGTAGATCCACTGCATTGTGTATTCTAATGTCTTTTTCAGCAGATAAAAGAAAGGCTGAAGATGACCTTTTGCTTTCTAGAAGTATTTTCCTTTTCACTGAGAGCCTGCCTGTGGCTCACAGATCTGGACCAAATACATTTCTGTTCTTGGGAATGGCCTTATTTTTCTCAGAGACAAGTCAGTACGGAGTGGGGAAAATGCTGCTGCTGCACAGACTCAGCATCTGGAAGAGAGTTTGGGCTCTTCAATTTCTGCATTTAACCAGTAAAATCAGTGACAAAAGCATCATAAATGCTCCAAGGAACATCTGACTCCTTGAAAAGAAGTCATTACAATCACTATGAAAATAAAAAGTATAAAATTAAGAAAAAGCGATAAAACGCACACCAGTCAAAACTGATAAGCAGGTGCTGGTTCAACTTTCTGGGTATCAAGCAATGATGTGGGAATAGGTAGAACTCTCCTCACCCCGTTTTTTTCAATGTAAGCTTCTTGGTGTTTTGCTTCCTGGCAACAAGTCCATTACAAGACCTTCTGGAGCACTGCTAATGTTAAATATTACTCTCTGGCAATAAATGTGAGGCATATGCCTTTGGAAGTAATGAAACCCATAAAATATTCTGAGTTAGACCTCAGATACAACAGAAAATCAGAACAAAGTAAGCTCACTCTTTTTTTTCTGCAGCTCTCAGTTTGACTTTTCTAGCACGGATTCTTAGGAAATCGAAGGAAAGCAACTTCTTCCTAACAGCCTGTAGGTGGGGTGTGATGCACATCGAATGCCAAGCAAGTACCGCAGCCTAGCTTAGCAGTCTGCTCTCTGTAAGCACTGCCCAGGCAGAAGAGCTCGTCTGCAGAAATTATGAGGTAGGGGGCTACGTGGGGAAATGCTCAAAATATATTGACATTAGTAATTTATTTTCATTTGCCTCACTCCCATCCTCAACAGTACAAGGCAAAAGTTAAATACAAAACTGATTTTTTCTTTTCAGTATTAAAAGAGATTCTGTTCCCCCAGAGGACATCATATTCAAGGTATGCATAAACGCCAGGAAAGATAATCTCAAAGAAAAATGCAGTTCAAGTAAATGGGAAAAATGTCTTTTTGAGCCACCTTGAAAAGCAGACATAAATACTCTGGTGAAAAGTCTTCTGGTGTTAGCCTTGCCAAGTCTGTAAAGCAGGTGAGTCTGTAACTCTTTGTACAGTACATTTATCAAGAGGCAAGTGAAACACATATCTCCTGCTGGAAAATGCCTGATAAGTTAAAAGGCCTGTCAATACAAAAGCTGATTTACGATCTTCTGTCATATTCAGCACTGTAACATCTATAGAATCTCCTAAATGACATGATCACCTGTCTCAAGTGGCCAATACCTCTTCTTCTTTTCTTAAGGTGGAAAGCCAGTGCTCCTTTGTGTAGGATGCAAGTGTCAGCTTATTGCTTAAATGTGCATGCTTCTGCATTTATACTATGAAAGGGCCAATAAATGCATTATGCCTTTGAATGTAATACGACTTGTGTGATGCTTTTCAGGGTCGTTTACACAGGAAAATCTGTCAGCCTAGCTTTAGTGGAATAGTGCTATCTCCCTGTATGCCCTCTCTGGAGATACAGCAGACTTGTTTCCCGTTTAGTATAAACCCCTCCAAAAGCCACACGCATTAAGGTAAAAATGCTACTTAAACTCCTGCAAAGAATATAATCTTGAGGAATCACACATTTTCCCACTAGGAGAAACCCTTGTCTCTTCTAGAGATTTATCCCACAGAATCACTCATCCTTAGGATAGCTCTGTAGGCTGCTAAGGAAAATTCTGTGTTGAATAAGACCCAACTGCAGTGCTAGTGACCCAGAGAACAATGTGAGAGCTCTGTTATTGCTAAGTGAGTTTCTCTATAGCTCAGTAATTACTGTTAATGATGTCAGCAAACTCTTTATTTTTTTTATTATTTTTTAACCTAGGAAGCCATCTGCTTTATATTATGAATGCTATGGTACACTGGAAGTGATAGAAAGTCAAATTTCTAATTTAAATAACCTATCCTTAGGCATGACTGGAACATCTGAATTCACATTCAATGAATCCATCAGACAGTGCTGCCCCAAGAGCTATTATCCAGCAACTGGCTGCTGGAGATGAACTAATCCTTTTAATCCCTTGAGAAATAATCCTAGGGTGTGGTTACTCCACTCAGTACTGTGCCTAATGACACGAAGAAAGGAATGCATAAACAGCATTTTTTGAACAAAACTTTAGATTGAGATATCCCTCTTTGTGGAGAGTCTCCTAGCCATTAACATTCCTTCTGGTCCTGAATAATGGCTGAGGTTCAATGGGACAGTGGAAGGACCAGAGCAGAAGAGTCCTAACATGCACTCTGACTTCTGGGACTAATTGTAAATTGCACACCAGAACATCCTCCTTCTCTGACTGTGGTGTTTAAAGACAGCAGATACCACTATGGTGCTTTGGGCTCCACGCACTAAGAGACATGCTTGTAGTGCACCTACTAGACCAGGCTGCTTAGGTCATTCACATACAAGGATAGGCAATTTGTGAACCCTTGGTGAATGTGCAGATTAACAGCAACCTAAAGGTTTAAGCTTTCCAAGTCAGGTATTGAAACTCAGTGTTGATAAAAAGGGGCAAAATAAAAAAAAAAAATTGGTATGCTGAATTCAAACACTAAATGCCAGCCAGCAGTCCTAGAAAACACAAATGCTTGCCCTTAACTCAAAGCATGTTAACAGACTCATTGGCATCTGTGGTCAGTGCCAAGCATATTTTAGTTTAGTTTGCTAGATATCTCCATGACACAGAAACAGAAGAGGCAAGCAGAATTGTTTTTCAAAACAGTTAAGAGGTGAGTTAAAATAAAGTAAACATAAAATGATCAGGGAGGTGCAACCTCCAATGAATTTCCAAAGAATAATTTTACTTTTGTATTGCCAAGGGTGTTCTAAAATCACTGGTCAGCAAACTGCTCTACCAGATTTAGTAGGAAGCCCACAGTTTCCTGAATCTCAGAGTTTTATGGAAGAACCCTAAATACGAGTGGGTAGAAGCAGTCTGCAATAGTTAGGAACTCAATCAGTACCTTATTAACCATGTACTGGATTGTCCAGGCACTTTGGAGAATGAGGCTAGGGAAAAGTATGATTTTGCCAGTGTTAAAGAACTTTGCCAACCTTTTATTTAAGAGGCTCCAATTATTCTAAGTCACAGCACACACTTGACATATGGGAAGGAGCACACCTTTGTATAGAGAAGGTCCTTGACTGAGCTGTGTTAGTCTTAAAAGCAGTGTAATGGTGACATAGCACTGCATGAATAAATTGAAAGTATATTTGAGTTCCAGCCCAATACTGAAGATACCTGCCTCCACATTTTCTGTTGTTGCTTTCTTCTCTGGTGTTAATGCCCCCTATGCTGGGCACAAACACAGCAGAAAAGTTGGATGTGTGCTCCTTCACCATCTCAGAGTAAAGAATAAGTTTTATATAAAGTGTATATCATATGTTTCCAGTTATTACAGTATTAATACATAAAAATGATTAAGAAATACTTAGCATTGTAAGGTCTCCTTTTTCTGTAAACTGTACTCATATGTACCCTCTCCAAACAGGCCAGCTAAAAGTTTTTTTTGACCTGTTCCTGTAGATGCTCAAGAGTTGAGGACATCAGACAGCAACCTTGCCAAAAAAATGTTTATGTGCTGACAGAGCCATCAAACACTGTGGACAGATGTTCAGTAATTACTCTCTGACTCTTCTATGCAAGTGTACATGCAGAGCATATATATTCAATCCATACTGCAGGTCAAACTGTCCATCCTCAGTCTGAACCTGGGCTACATATTTATACACAAAATACTCCCCACAGATTAATATCTTGATAATTTTTTTCCATATCCCTGTTTTTAGACGTTGGGAGTCTGGGGTCCCAGAATGTAATATGGGTCTTACATCTTTTTCTTGCAAAAGTTGTTCCTGGAAAAGCTTCCAGCGTCTCTGGTGGTGGGTCTCCCATTTCTCCAGCTGAGGGACCAAATTCTCCTGCCACTCCTCTTTCAGAAGCTCACATTCTCTTACAGAGAGGTCAGTCACAACTGGCAGGGTTTGAAGAAACAGCTCCGTCACCAACTCTGCTAAAGCATGGGAAGCTTTAGTGTACAGCTCCTAACAGAAGGACAAAGAGGGACAGAGAGAGACAGGTGAGAAAGTGACCCTCCCGGCACTCTGAAGCTGTTTCACTGCAAGCCTCCATGAACTCAGTGAGGAAACTGTGTCCCAGTGAAGGTACTGGGCCACTGGCCCCTAGAGCTAAAATCCAATGCCACTAATGCTTGAGTTAAAAATACCAGGTTTTGTAGATGGAACAACTTGAATGTTTTGGTTCAAGGCATTTCAAGGGTGTTTAAAATGCAATAGTGGCATAAACGCATGAGACCTTGAATTGTAACTGTTGTAAACATGCAAATGCCATACAAAAAATATCTCATTCTACTGGCTATGGTGATGTGTTATAAAAATACTTTATGAAAGGGGCTGTGGAAACAATTCTGTCTAGCACAACACCTCATAGGCACATTTTCAAATATGTTAATATGAAATTATTCAAGGCAAGAAAGAAGAGTTAAAGGAGACAGTATGGTATTTAGTTAGACAAAATTAACATTAGTCACATTAACAGTTGGTCCTTCAAAATATGACGGCCTTCAATGCCTTCTGGAAAGACAGAATTATTCAGATCCCTTCTGATGCAGAGAAGGTTCAAGCCTAGCAAAACAAACAACTTCTGGTAGTTTTATTAAAACCTGTCCCATATGAGTGATTTTCAATTGCTCAGGCTGTTTCACTCGCAAGAGTTTGGATGATTTAGTCAGATAGCATCCAAGCAAAGAAGTCTTTTCAAAGTGTGTAATTTCACTGTCAAATACAGAATGATTATATGAGCTGTATTTGCAAACTTGCAACAATTTGAGATAATCTCTGAGGAAAAGGCATGAGGGCAGGTAGCTTTCTCCAGTGGGAGAGAGAAACAAAAACATTGGAAAGGTCTCACAGACACTGTGGTACTCCAGCAGCATGAAGAGCTACTTTTGTGTGAGTTCCACATGATCTTATCAGCCTGAAAAGCTTTATTACCTACTTGGTTTTACATTTATTGTGTATCACTGTTAGCCCTCTTGAAAACACTTGTATTTATTTCTTTTCCTTAAAATACAGATCATGCTTTTGAAACAACCTTTAGCATTCCTATTGCAAAAAATGTAAGTCAAGTACTTCTAGCTGTTGCTTTATTTAAAATATGGGTTTAAGTACAACCTTTTAAGTGACCAACATCTAGAACCTCTCAACAGAAGCACAGACATATTTATTTAAACATCAAAAACAGCTCATAGTCATGAAAAGTTCTAGTCTTCTTTTTTCAGGAGAAACACAGGTATAATGTACTATTGTGTAAGAGTCCATTACAAATGCTAGATACAGGATCATAAAAAACCAAAGTAAGAAAAAAAAACCCAAACCAAAAGAGAATGTTAAATTGCAAATTCAAGAAAACAAAAATATGTGTTTGTGCCCCCATAATGAAAAATTCTGGGTTCACATCCTGTTTCCACAGGACCTTTATCTGTCCTACATTTAGGTTTATCGATACCCATTGAGTAAGTAGATTACTTAAAAATCCGTATTCTGTATTTCTCATTTACTGTAAAATACCCAAGCTGTGCACTGAATACTAAATTATTATTTTTCTCCTGGGATCCCTCTAGGATGCTAATCACCATATTAATGAGCTGTTTCACAAACAATAAATAGCTTATCTTAGCAGCTCCCCCCAGTAACCTCTACTTATGGATAAAGTCATGGCACAACACTATCAGAAGTGTTCACTACACCTTTGAGATGAACTGTCTTGATTTTTTGCACTCTCTTACCTGTTCAATGCACGCAGCATTTTTACAACCTGGCTTCCACTGGCTTTGTTTAATCTCAAAGTGTTCTGAATTCTTGTAAATTGGGCTACAGGTTTCTGAAACTAGGTACTGGGTTTAAGTATTAGAATTGGTAGTAATAGACACAACGATTTAATAACTAATTTCCGGTAACATTCTCCCATTTCTAGCCATTGCTCACAATCTGGACATAGCAGTATCATTAGGGTAACATTTGCTACACAGGTGCATCACCCCTACATCTTAATTATTAGAGTCACCTGTTCCTGTTACAAGAAGAGGCAGGGTTTATACAATCTTAATCATCTGTGTAGTTGTGGGCCTGGCTTGGCTTGTCAACACTAATGCAAAACGGTTTGTTTGAATTCTCTCTTCTGCTGCTATATATTTTAAAATACAAGTCTCCAAATTCTGGGATTCAACATAAGCTCAAAGATCCTATGCTTCTAATCTCCGTATCCCACACAACATTTAAAGAAGGATCACTCTATCTCTGTAAAACATCTCTTCTCTGAGCTTTACTTGCCTTTACTGGGTGTTCAGGGATAAAAGTATTTCTCTTGGATCTGAAATAGCTCAGAAGCAGTCTAGAGGAGTCTGTGGCATTTCTATTGCAATCTCAAAAGATCTCAGGCAGGGTGTTAAGAAACTCTATTCTTAAACAGAGTTTCACCCATCATAGCTAAATCAGTTTGCAACACATTTTGCTGCAGAACTGATAGCATTTCCCTGGCGTGCTGACAGCCCTGTATTATTATTTACTAGGAAATCTTCTTCACAGAACATAAAGAAGGTATTTTGTTACTTGCCTTCATGCCATTTTGTTTAAAGACCAAGTAAATAGAATTCTACTTGTACTCTCGGCAGCTTCATATTAGACTGTATACTCACCTTTGGAACTACCAGAGTGGGTACACAGCTACCCAGGAAAATGTGACTAGGTCCTGTTTCCACAAAATTACTTACCTACATCACCTCATTAATGTGATTGGCCAACTTATCTTTAGATCAAAGGAGCTTAACTACTTGTTTGCAAAATACTTCCTGGCCCTCTGCTGAAACTGGTGTATGAGAGGACAATAAAGTGGGATTAGAATTCCAGATGCAGTTTTTCATATCAACACTTCCTTTAGAAATGAAAATGTTGGGTGACTACATAGAGGGGAAGCAGGACTAAGCAGGACTACTTTCCTTACATTTCACATATGTAGCAAACTGGCACTCAAAGCAGCAGGAGGCCTAGGCAGGTGCTGTTATGTCCCTGAGATGGTGACTTTTCACAGGGCTGAACACTTTATCTTTAAGTTCTGTTAGAAATTTTCCTCTGTGCAGGACACAAATCCTGCACTTACTGGTCTCATCTGTGTCCAGGATCACAAAATAAATCACTATCAGCGATGCCTATCAAAATACAAACTTCAGTGTTCAGGGAACCACTGGCTGCTGGCTTTCTTCATCTGAACACATAATCATAGCGACATTAGACCCTAGGCAGTCCTCGCAGCCCAGACACTAACACAACACCGTGGTCTACTCAGAGGACATGCCACATGCACAGTATGATGGCCACACTGTTTAATGTAGCCCTGGAAAATACACAGTGGGACTAGCTTTTAAAATTTGGCAGGGGAAACTGTAAGTCTATGCTTTGGAAAGATTGATGATCTGATTGAATTCTACCAAAGCGACTCAAACTAACAAAATAGTTCAAAACTATCTGTACTCTGAGGAATGTACTTGATCTGAAGCAGCAATAAAGTCTGTCTGTGAGCAGGATGGTGCACTAACTACTATAATGCTTATTTTCCACAGGAAAAAAAGAAAATTATTTAAAAAATCCTACAGCTTTCAGGATCTTATTTTTGGACTACAACCCATACAAAACAGTTCTTACAAGCTTCCTGATATGCCATCTCTTGTTTTTAGAACTTTTACTTAATGAAATTTATTCAAATTGGTTCCATTAATAGAATAGCTGATTGCAGTGTTGAATGAACCTGTTTGTAGTACCTGGCAGTCAATCTGAAAGCTTTTCAAAAAATCTCCAGAGAAATTCATCAAGCATCAAGAAATACCATGGGGTATGCAGAAATAAAATGGGCTCAGATTAAAATGCTGAGTGCATCTGAATTTCAAACAAGGCAATAAATATATAATTTTATCAAAGACCAGGGGAAATATACATCTTATCAGATTTCATCACAAAACCAAAGAACGACAATAGTGCTCACCCTCAAACCCAAATGATTAAAATGTTTCTATATGCAGATGAGAATAAAGCAAATAATGAAATTCTGAAGCAGGAAAATATATTTAGAAAGGCTGGTTGTACTATATTTTAAATGCCAGTCACTGCCTAGTATATATTATCTCCAAGAGGCAATTACATAGCTATTTGTTAACTTGTGACAGCTATTTGTTACCTTGTGATACAACAGCATTTCATTAAAATAATTAAAATTTCTGGTCGAAGTTGTAGAACACTCTTGCATGTACGTCCAGAAGCTCAATAACTAGGGCCCTTGAGGTAAGAGATTTATCTCCCAAGCCATACTGTGTCTTATTAAGGACAGATTCAATACTCAGATCATATATCCCATAAATACTCCAAACATTCTTGGACATCACTGACCACTAGAAGATGAAGATACCTCACATTACAAACTCACAATAAACAGGAAATAGCTATATTCCCCAGGGCTCAGTAACTGGGGCTAGTTCCATTTAATATCTTTATCAACAACCTGGACAAGGAGATCGAGTGCATTCTCAGTAAGTTTGCAGAAAACACCAAGTTGTGCAGGAGTGTTGCTCTGCTAGATGGTAGGAAGGCTCTGCAGAGGGACCTGGATAATATGGATTGATGGGCCCAGCCCAACATTATGAGACTGAACAAGGCCAAGTGCCGGGTCCTGCACTTGGGTTACAACAACCCCATGCAACGCCACAGGCTTCAGGATGCGGGGCTGGAGAGCTGCCAGGCAGAAAAGGACCTGGGGTTTTGACTGACAGCTGTTCAATATGAGCCAGCAATGTGCCCAGGTGGCCAAGAAGGCCAACAGCATCCTGGTATACATCAGAAATAGTGTGGCCAGCAGGACTCAGGAAGTGATCATCCCCCTATATTTGGCACGGGTGAGACCACACCTCAAGTACTGTGTTTAGTTTTGGGTCCCTCACAACAAGGAAGACATTGAGGTGCTAGACGCACCCAGAGAA